GTGTGGGTGTGTGTGTGTGTGTGTGTGAGAGAGTGTGTGTGTGTGTGTGTGAGAGTGTGTGTATGTGAGAGTGTGTGTGTGTGTTCAGAGCGCAGCTCCTCTGATCCCGGCATGTATCCGGTTCCAGCCGTGGCGCCTCCTGCAGGACGGGAGCGCAGTCACATGGGTCAGCTGTTCTTCGAGTATCTGCTGGTTGTCAGTCTGAGGAAGAGGAGGAACGAGGAAGGTTACGAGCCCCACATCACCTACCAGTTCCCCAAGGTCAGACCAGTGAGTGTGTGCGTGTGTGTGTGCGTTAAAAGTACTGACTGTATTGTGTGTGTGTGTGTGTGTGTGTGTGTGTGTGTAGCGTGAGGTAATGGAGCGTCTGCAGCGCGAGGAAGAGGAGAAGTGCATGAAAGCCGCTCATCTCTTCTGCTTTCCAGAGGGAATCAACTGGGCTCCTCTGACAGAATACAGGAGGTACACACACACACGCACACACGCACTCACACACACACACACACACACACACACACACACACACACACACACTCTCTCTCACACTCACACTCACACACACTCACAAATTCATAAATATTTTTAGATTTCATATGTATTCTATTTATGAATACAATTTAATTGTAATTAAGGGTGCTTTCACACCTGGCCCGTTGTTTGGGAACCTGGCGCGTTTTCCCCCTTAGCTCGGTTAGTTTGGGCATATCACGGCAATCGCGCTCGGATCCGTGCCAAAACAATCGGTCCGAGATCGCCTGAACGAGATGGTCTCGGCTCGATTGAAAACTCTGGAAGTGAAAGCAATCCGATCTAACGGACCAACAAACCAGGCTATATCACAATGTATGATGGGTAATTACGTAAGTTCCGTGAAAAGCATTAGCTTTGTTGTTTTGCTAATACCTCAAAATGAACCTGTGAATGTCTGTGGGTGAGCACGTCTTTGCCATTCAAAATCAAAGCGCACTTTTTCATTTTATAATGCCGTCTTATTGCTCTTCTTTGTAGTAGGTGAATTTTAAAAATGTTTTCCCGATGAATCCTGGACTCCTGCTCAAAATGATAAATTATTATAATGACAGCTACAAAAAACCCCAACAATAAGCCCGCGAAGCTGTTGTCGTTGTGAAAGCGAACCGCACCAAGAATAAAAAGCAAGATTGTAATAATTTTAATCCCTGTTTCGGAACAAAGCAATCGATCTACAGGTGTGAAAACACCTTAATAATATTACATTTTAAAATATTTCTAAAAATGATGAATGCATTGTGTGTGTGCGTGTGTAGCGTGAGGTGATGGGCCGTCTGCAGCGTGAGGAAGAGGAGAAGTGCATGAAGGCCGCTCATCTCTTCTGCTTCCCAGAGGGAATCAACTGGGCTCCTCTGACCGAATACAGGAGGTACACACACACACTCTCACTCACACACATTCACACTCACACACTCTCTCACACACACACACTCACACACACACACTCTCACTCACACACATTCACACTCACACACTCACACACACACACTCTCACTCACACACATTCACACTCACACACTCACACACACACACTCTCACTCACACACATTCACACTCACACACTCACACACACACACTCTCACTCACACACATTCACACTCACACACTCACACACACACACTCTCACTCACACACATTCACACTCACACACTCACACACACACACTCTCACTCACACACATTCACACTCACACACTCACACACACACACTCTCACTCACACACATTCACACTCACACACTCACACACACACACTCTCACTCACACACATTCACACTCACACACTCACACACACACACTCTCACTCACACACATTCACACTCACACACTCACACACACACACTCTCACTCACACACATTCACACTCACACACTCACACACACACACTCTCACTCACACACATTCACACTCACACACTCACACACACACACTCTCACTCACACACATTCACACTCACACACTCACACACACACACTCTCACTCACACACATTCACACTCACACACTCACACACACACACTCTCACTCACACACATTCACACTCACACACTCACACACACACACTCTCACTCACACACATTCACACTCACACACTCACACACACACACTCTCACTCACACACATTCACACTCACACACTCACACACACACACTCTCACTCACACACATTCACACTCACACACTCACACACACACACTCTCACTCACACACATTCACACTCACACACTCACACACACACACTCTCACTCACACACATTCACACTCACACACTCACACACACACACTCTCACTCACACACATTCACACTCACACACTCACACACACACACTCTCACTCACACACATTCACACTCACACACTCACACACACACACTCTCACTCACACACATTCACACTCACACACTCACACACACACACTCTCACTCACACACATTCACACTCACACACTCACACACACACACTCTCACTCACACACATTCACACTCACACACTCACACACACACACTCTCACTCACACACATTCACACTCACACACTCACACACACACACTCTCACTCACACACATTCACACTCACACACTCACACACACACACTCTCACTCACACACATTCACACTCACACACTCACACACACACACTCTCACTCACACACATTCACACTCACACACTCACACACACACACTCTCACTCACACACATTCACACTCACACACTCACACACACACACTCTCACTCACACACATTCACACTCACACACTCACACACACACACTCTCACTCACACACATTCACACTCACACACTCACACACACACACTCTCACTCACACACATTCACACTCACACACTCACACACACACACTCTCACTCACACACATTCACACTCACACACTCACACACACACACTCTCACTCACACACATTCACACTCACACACTCACACACACACACTCTCACTCACACACATTCACACTCACACACTCACACACACACACTCTCACTCACACACATTCACACTCACACACTCTCTCACACACACACACACACACAAACACAAACCAAACAGCTGCTGGTAAAATAAATATATATACTGTGGAAGTCAATGGCTACCGTCAATCAATTTTGGTCACCAGCATTCTTCAAAATGAGCCAAACATTCAAGTCATTAACATAGCAGATTTGAAAACCACAAACTTTCTCTGTGAATCTCTCACTGATTCTCTGACTGAATCTTTGAACAATTCTCTGAATAATTCTCCAAGTGAATCTCAGAATGACTCTCTCAATGAATCTCTGACTGTGAATCTCTGAATGAATCTCTGAATGATTCTCTGTGTATCTTTGAATGAATCTCTGACTGTGACTCTGACTGTGAATCTTTGAATGAATATCTGACTGAATCTCTGACTGTGAATCTCTGACTGAATCTCTTGCGCTCTGACAGTGTTTTGCCGTGTTTAATCAGTGTGTTCATCATCAGTGTGTGTTACTGTTGAGCCTCCTGTCAGATCTGAGCATGTCAGTCTTCATCTACAGGAAGTGTGTGTTGGTTTGGAGAGCGTTACTGAAACTCTGGTTTGTTGACTCACTGCAGTGAAACGTTCTCGTTCGTTCTGACTGAAGTTGATGGCAGCAGGAGGAACGGATACTGCAGGAGACTGCTGGTGAACTTCACGCACTATTAAATATCACACAATATTCACAGTAAAAATATTAAATGATAATAATATTATGTAAAATGTCATTTTAATATAATTATTTTACATGTTGTTATTTTAAACATTTCCTATTATTTAGTATCTATAACAATTAAAAGTAAAGAAAATATTTATAATGAATTTTTTTAGCACTGTATCAAAGTTGAAGTCAATTTATAAAGCACTTTTTAAAAAACAGCAAGTGTTTATCAAAGTGCTGTACACACATAAAAGAATAAAAATATCAATGATACAAACGGTCAACAACACAAAAGAAGACAATAAGACACCATAGAGACAGTAACAGAAAGCAGCTCTCATGTAGCGTCAAATGCCAGACTATAAAAATTAAGTTTAAGCACAATCCATGATATTACCTACATTTTTTACATAGGGCTTCACAAGTGGTTTCAATTCACCAAGGTCTACATCTGATGACTCGCAAGTACCTCCTGGCGTAAAAAGTATAACTTGTTTTATTTTCATTAAAATTAAGGAAATTTAGTGCCACCCAGGCCTTCATTTCCTCAAGACACTGCAATAGGGGCGCTAAAGAGCAAGTATCTTTTCATTTCAAAGGCAGATACATTTGCGTATCGTCTGCATAACAATGAAAAGAAATACCAAATTTCCTAAAAATATGTCCTAAGGGGAGCATATACAGGGAGAACAGAATAGGCCCCAAAATGGAGCCCTGAGGGCCCCCACACGTGAAAGAAGCAGTTGAGGAGACAAAGTCTCCAAAACGAACTGAGAAAGTTGTTCTTTTGGGCAAATAGGATCTAAACCATCCCAACGCAGTGCCCTTAATACCAACACAATGTTCTAAGTGTGTAATCAAGATCTTATGGTCTACAGTATCAACTACAGCCGAAAGGTCTAGTAGAATTAAAATCGCACAGTCCCCTGAGTCAGTAGCAAGTAACAAGTCATTAAAAACCTTCAACAGTGCAGTGTCTACTATGTAAAGATTTAAAACCAGACTGAAACACTTCGTAAATACCATGTAGATCTAGAAATGAATTCAGTTGTCCAAATACAAACTTCTCCAGTAGTTTGGAAAGAAACGGAAGTTTTGAGATGGGTCTAAAATGAGCAAAAACTGATGAATCCAAATTAGATTTCTTGATTACTGGTTCCACTGCTGCATGTTTAAAAGACTTCGGTACAACTCCCGAGTCCAGGCTACTATTAATAATTGCAAGAATTCTAGAACCAATAGTTTCAAATTAATCTTTTAGAAGATGTATAAAAGTGACGTAAGATCACTGTATAATGATAAATGTTAATCATACATTTTTAATAATTCTTTAGAATATTAATACTAAATTAATAATAATAATAATGAATAATGAGTACATATGAAATATATTAGAATATTTAAAAATATAAAGTTTAAAATAAAAATATTGAATATGTGTTTGTTAATATGTATCACATTAAATATTCTATAGTATTTAGTAATTATAATGATGATTTATCATCGTTAATGTTTTTTATAATTATTCATGACAATATTTATACTTAATATGAAATATTTCAGAATATAAAAAGCTTATCATAATAATTATTAAATATGAAATATTTAGAATATTTAAAAACATTAAAAATGTACAAATATTGACGATATAGAATTACATATATGTATTAAGTATAGTATTTATTTTATTTATAATGAATTAAAATAGTGTTTATAATGAAAAACTTTATAATTTTATAATTACAATGTTTATATTTTTAATAGTTATTCACTCTATTATTATAAATTATGAAATGACCATCAGTGAAAGCAGATCTCATTAGCATATGATCAGAATGCTGCTGAATAATTCATGAGCTCTCTCTCTCTCTCTCTCTCTCTGTCAGCCGGACGGCCGCGGCGCTCGTGTTCCAGAGGCGTACTGCATCATCAGCAGCGTGGCGTGTTTCGGACTATTCTCAAAGGTGAGGAAACACTCACACACACTCACTCACACACTCACTCACTCACACACACACACACACACACACACACACACACTCACTCACACTCTCACACTCACACAGACACACACACACTCACTCACTCACTCACACACGCAGACACGCACACACACACTCACTCACACACACACTCACACACACTCGCTCACACTCGCTCACACACACTCGCTCACACACACACACATACTCACTCACTCACTCACTCACTCCGACACACTCACTCACTCGCTCGCTCACTCACACTCACACACTCACTCACTCACTCACTCACTCACACACTCACACTCGCACTCACTCACTCACACACACACATACTCACTCACTCACTCACTCACACACTCACACTCGCACTCACTCACTCACACACACACATACTCACTCACTCACTCACTCACACACTCACACTCGCACTCACTCACTCACACACACACATACTCACTCACTCACTCACTCACACACTCACACTCGCACTCACTCACTCACACACACACATACTCACTCACTCACTCACTCACACACTCACACTCGCACTCACTCACTCACACACACACATACTCACTCACTCACTCACTCACACACTCACACTCGCACTCACTCACTCACACACACACATACTCACTCACTCACTCACTCACACACTCACACTCGCACTCACTCACTCACACACACACATACTCACTCACTCACTCACTCACACACTCACACTCGCACTCACTCACTCACACACACACATACTCACTCACTCACTCACTCACACACTCACACTCGCACTCACTCACTCACACACACACATACTCACTCACTCACTCACTCACACACTCACACTCGCACTCACTCACTCACACACACACATACTCACTCACTCACTCACTCACACACTCACACTCGCACTCACTCACTCACACACACACATACTCACTCACTCACTCACTCACACACTCACACTCGCACTCACTCACTCACACACACACATACTCACTCACTCACTCACTCACACACTCACACTCGCACTCACTCACTCACACACACACATACTCACTCACTCACTCACTCACACACTCACACTCGCACTCACTCACTCACACACACACATACTCACTCACTCACTCACTCACACACTCACACTCGCACTCACTCACTCACACACACACATACTCACTCACTCACTCACTCACACACTCACACTCGCACTCACTCACTCACACACACACATACTCACTCACTCACTCACTCACACACTCACACTCGCACTCACTCACTCACACACACACATACTCACTCACTCACTCACTCACACACTCACACTCGCACTCACTCACTCACACACACACATACTCACTCACTCACTCACTCACACACTCACACTCGCACTCACTCACTCACACACACACATACTCACTCACTCACTCACTCACACACTCACACTCGCACTCACTCACTCACACACACACATACTCACTCACTCACTCACTCACACACTCACACTCGCACTCACTCACTCACACACACACATACTCACTCACTCACTCACTCACACACTCACACTCGCACTCACTCACTCACACACACACATACTCACTCACTCACTCACTCACACACTCACACTCGCACTCACTCACTCACACACACACATACTCACTCACTCACTCACTCACACACTCACACTCGCACTCACTCACTCACACACACACATACTCACTCACTCACTCACTCACACACTCACACTCGCACTCACTCACTCACACACACACATACTCACTCACTCACTCACTCACACACTCACACTCGCACTCACTCACTCACACACACACATACTCACTCACTCACTCACTCACACACTCACACTCGCACTCACTCACTCACACACACACATACTCACTCACTCACTCACTCACACACTCACACTCGCACTCACTCACTCACACACACACATACTCACTCACTCACTCACTCACACACTCACACTCGCACTCACTCACTCACACACACACATACTCACTCACTCACTCACTCACACACTCACACTCGCACTCACTCACTCACACACACACATACTCACTCACTCACTCACTCACACACTCACACTCGCACTCACTCACTCACACACACACATACTCACTCACTCACTCACTCACACACTCACACTCGCACTCACTCACTCACACACACACATACTCACTCACTCACTCACTCACACACTCACACTCGCACTCACTCACTCACACACACACATACTCACTCACTCACTCACTCACACACTCACACTCGCACTCACTCACTCACACACACACATACTCACTCACTCACTCACTCACACACTCACACTCGCACTCACTCACTCACACACACACATACTCACTCACTCACTCACTCACACACTCACACTCGCACTCACTCACTCACACACACACATACTCACTCACTCACTCACTCACACACTCACACTCGCACTCACTCACTCACACACACACACACACACACACACACTCACACTCCTCAGACAGGTCGGCACTGACTCCCGTGTGTGTTTGCGCAGATCTTTGACGAGGTGGAGAAGCGCAGGCAGATCTCCAAAGCCATGATCTATCCGTTCATGCAGAGCCTGCGGGAGGCGCCGCTGCCCTCGCCCGGAAACACCGTCACCGTCAGCAGCTTCATCCCGGACGCCGGGACCGAGGTGCGTTTCAGTCTGACTTCTGTGCAAAGGCTTGCGGCTCAGCAGCGCTACAGATAACGCCTCTGCTCTCAGATCATCAGTCTGACGCGGCCCGCATAGTCCTGGCTCGAACACGTGGACTTCCACACGCTCTTCCGCTGCCTGAGCGACGAGGAGGTGCTGATGGTGTTCGCCGCCACCGTCACGGAGCGACGGATCATCTTCATCTCTGAGGAGCTCAGGTGACCAGCGCAGCCGCAGATTTACAGCACTTCAGAGGGGTCACTTATTAATATTTATACTTTGCATAATAATGAATCATCATTAAACATCAAGTATTCATAGTATAATATTTAAAAAATAATAAACTTTAAACAAATTAACTATTAAATATGTAACATTTAATACATATTTAATATATTTTATTAAATGTAGTATTTCATAATTATAGTGATTAAAAATAATATTTTTGGAAGCGGAAAACATTTTTATATTATTTCATAATAGAATATTAATAAATATAATAAGTTATAACATGTAATATTTAATATATATCATACACATTTATTCAATATTCTGTAGTATTTAGAAATTATAAGGAAAATATTAAAACTTATAAAGCATAAAATGTTTTAAAGAAATCATTAGTTTTTTTTATAATTGTTTGTAATAATTATTCGCTATAATATTAATACTTATAATAATCAATAACTATTAAATATAAAATATTCATGTTAGAATATTTAATACTGATATAAAAATATAAAATCTTAAAAATAAAATATTGAATATATTTACTATATATTAATAATTATTCATAATATTTATCGAATAATTATTTTATCTAGCTAAAAATTATTCAATATGATAAAATATTCATGTTCAAAATATTAAATTCTAAAAATAGTAATTATATGTAAAATGTAATTTATTTTACTTTTTTTATGTAAAAACAAAATGTGAAACGTACAAAATTTTACATTTTAAATATTTGATAGAAGTTAAAATTATTAAAATAAAATTTGATATAAAATGAAAACATTTTAGAATTGTTTATCATGTTTTAAATTATTAGACAATTTATACTTACTAATATAATTTAAATATAAAATATACGTTAGAATTTTTTAAAATATTAAGCGTTTAAAAAATAAAAATATTGACTAATATTTATTACATAAAAATAAAAATATTTTAAAAATATATCGATAATTCTTATTTTTTATATTAAAAATATTTTTTAAAGAAAGTTTATTTTACAATTGCAATATTAATCATATAATGTTAAATACTTTTATTGTAATATTTACAATTATTAAATACATTTTAGAACTATTAAAAGTAATATTCATAATAAAATAAAGAAATAGTAATGTACATAAAAATTTTTATATGAATATTCAATATAATCATATTTTTTGCACATTTTATAGTATTTATTAATTATAATGATTTAAAATAAAGAAAATATTCATAATGGAAAACATTTTGTGACCACTATGAATGTGTTAATATGTGTGTGTGTTCAGCACTCTGTCGCAGGTCCTTCACGCTGTAGCTGCTCTCTTGAATCCGTTTGTGTGGCAGCACACGTTCATATCAATCGTTCCTACGGTTCTGATTGATGTTTGTGCAGCGCCAACACCGTACCTGCTGGGAGTCCAGAAGAGCATGCTGGACCTGGTGACGGACCACAGCGACGTCAGTC